GAACTCAATTTCTTAGGGGCTTGTACATCTCTCTGCTATTGAAATATATAAAATTAATTATAATTATACTCAGCTGAACTCCTGCAGTTATGTCTAGGCAGTGGCTTGGGTTTTTATTGAGCTACAACTCAGACATGTGACTGTAATGTGCTGCAACTCTGTGCACTGAAAATATGTGAAAATAGTTGAATGTGGACCGTGTATACATGAATGTACAAATTTCTGCAGATGCTGCTGTTGCCACTTAATGTGGAAAATGTTGTAGTGGATTGTAATCGTACTGGCCAGTTCAATGATACTGTGTGTGCTGTATAGCTGATGACAAGAGTAAGACTGGGTAGTGGATATTTGTTAAATATTATTTTTGTAGCTAGAGATAATTTTGGAATAAAATTTTAATGTCCTACCTTACTTTTCTCCCCCTTTTTAAACTGTAATTTAATTGCTGGTCTATTTCTTCTGAGGGTTTAGAATTGCATAGTTCTGTACCTGTGCATTGTGATGCAAAAGGAGTTTGCTCATCAGTAGTTAATTTTTGGTTGAATATAAATATGCAAATTTCAGCTAAGATGCACTAAAGTTTTAGTATGCAGCTCTTGATTTTCTCAGGTTATTCTATTACTTTTAATATTTTTGTGTTCTTTTTTTTACAGTATGGCATTACCATGGTTTCTACTAACTTTTACTCTGCTAGAACTTCAGATCATTTTTTCTTTTAACCTAGAAGGTGGTAGTTAGCTGAGGGAGGAGCAACAATTAGTTCTTCCTCACTCTATTCTTTCCTGTGCACAAGTACTGGCACATTATTCTTTTGCTGTCCCCAGGCCCTCTCCATACTTTTTCTAATGTGGTGCTTTGGCAGATTTTGTACTTGGTGTTTTTTATGGTTCTCACTTTGGTGACATTAGCACCTCCTTTATTCATGCTTGGTTCAGAACATAAGGCCTGTCAACTGCAACCAGCCCATGATGTAACAAGTTCAGTTAACAGCAAGCTAAGTGTTTACATGATGGCAAGCAGATGCTGTAGTAATTTATCAGATGTTGCAGGGATATTGCTTGACTAATATTTCTCTCATGTGGAAAGAACTACCTCACATTTTTAAAGTCACATCCTTCCTCCCATCAATAGCAGAGGAATTCTCACCATGGTTTCCTGAATCATTGATGAGATTTACTAAAACGAAGAGAATATGTGCAGTGAGAGTTCCTCACCTCACTTTCATCTTACAGCCTACAGCTATAATCATCTTATGTGCCTACAGCAGTGGTGGCGATGTGGCACGTGTGCCTCAGCCTGTAGTTTATTATTGAAGACTCTAAAACATTCACCATCACTGGACTATACCGCAAATTCCCATTTTTTGCTTCTCAAAGATTAAAATGCACCTGGAAGCAAGTATCACTTTGATTCCCAAACCAGGGAAGGAGACAACTAAAAAAGAGAACTATAGGCCCATCTCCTTAAGCAATATAGATGCAAAAATCATTAATAAGATACTAGCAAACAGAATACAGAGGATCATCAAGAAGATCATACATCCTCACCAAGTCGGATTTATTCCAGGGATGCAAGGGTGGTTCAACACATGTAATGTAATACAATATATTAACAGAGCCAAAGACAAAAACCATATGATCCTCTCGATAGATGCAGAAAAAGCATTTGACAAAATTCAATACTCATTCATGATAAAAAAACTTGCAGAAAATTGGAATAGATGGTCTTTATCTCAAGTTAATAAAGGCTATCTATGAAAAACCAACAGACAACATCACATGAAATGGGCCCAAACTAAAAATCTTCATGTTAAAATCAGGAACAAGACAAGGATGCCCACTATCACCACTCCTCTTCGATATAGTTCTGGAAACATTAGCCACAGCAATTAGACAAGAGAAAGAAATTAAAGCAATAAAGATAGGAAAGGAAACAATTAAACTGTCATAATTTGCTGATGATAGGATACTCTACATTAAAGACCCAAAAAACTCTACCAAAAGACTTCTAGACTTAATTTACACTTTCAGCAGAGTAGCTGGATACAAGTTCAACACCCATAGATCAATAGCATTCTTGTGCACAAATAACAGACTCACTGAGGGAGAAATTAGGGAAACAATTCCTTTCACAATAGCATCCAAAAAATGAAGTATGTAGGATTCAATCTAACAAAAGAAGCAAAAGAACTCTACACTGAAAACTATTGCACTCTGATAAAAGAGATCAAAGAGAATGTAAGAAAATGGAGAGATACCCCCTACTCCCGGGTAGGAAGAATCAACATAGAGAAAATGGCCATACTACCAAAACTGCTATACAGATTCAATGCAATGCCAATTGAAATTCCAACACTATATTTCACAGAACTAGAAAAAAGAATCTAAAAATTCATTTGGAAACATAAGAGACCTAGAATAGCAAAAGCCATCTTAGGCAACAGAGACATGGTAGTGGGTATAACAATTCCCAATTTGAAACTATGATAAAAACAGCATGGTACTGACAAAGAAACAAATCCGAGGATCAGTTGAACAGACTGTAAGACAGAAAAACAAATCCAGATGTACTCAGCTATGTCATCTTTGACAAAGGTGATCACCATCCTCAGTGGAGAAAAGATAGCCTCTTTAATAAATGGTGTAGGAAAAAATGGATCTCAACATGCAAAAAATTAAAACTAGACCATTATCTTTCACATGCACTAAATTACAATCCAAATGGATGAAAGATCTAAATATTAAAACAGAAACACTAAACTTGCTGGAAGATAAGGTAGGCAGAACTCTTGAAGACATTGGCATAGGAAAAGATTTTACGAACAAATCCTCAGTAGCACGGGAACTAGCAGAAAGAATCAACAATTGGGATCTCATCTTATTAAAAAGCTTGTTCCCTGCAAAAGAAACCATCAAAAGAACTAAGGGACAACCTACAATGTGGGAAAATTTTTACCAGCTGCTCCTCGCACAAGGAACTATTATCGAGAATGTATAGAGAACTCAAAACAATCAGCACCCACTGAATATAAAGACCCAATTCAAAAATGGGCATCAATAACAAATGTTGGCGGGGTTGTGGGGAGAAAGGAACCCTTCTCCATTGTTGGTGGGAGTGCAGACTGGTGCAACCACTACGGAAATCACTATGGAGATTCCTCAAAGAGCTAGGACTAGAGGTTCCCTTTGACCCAGCCATAGCTCTGCTGGGATCTTTCCAAAAGAATTAAAAGAATCATATCACAGTGACATATGTGCACCTATGCTTATAGCAGCACAGTTTGTAATAGGTAAAACTTGTAAACAGCCCATTTGCCCATCAGTTGGAAACTGGATAAAGAAGATGTGGTTTTTCTATAAAATGGAACACTACTCAGCCATAAAGAATGAGAAATTAGAGTCATTCATAGGACAATGGATACATATTGAGGACATACTCCTAAGTGAAATAAGTCACACATGTGTAAATACCAAATAGTTTCTCTGGTGTGAAAAGCTATAATAGTACATAAGACCCTAATGATATAATGGACAATATGAAATCGGAAGGTGTAGGGAAAGTGGGAAGGGTAGGGAAAAGCTAATAAGGGAAAAGAAAAATGAGAAAATGAAGAAATGGAAATGAAGTGTTTCTAAAGGGGGAGGGAGGAGGGGTGATGGAAGGGCAGGGACAAGGGGAGAAATGAGAACCAAGACCTGTCATGTAAAGGTACACGATCCCAATGATGAATGCAACTGTACTGTATACCTAAAATGTACCAATAAACGCACTTAAAAATATTAGAGAGTTCTTGCTATCCCATGTGATCAGCCAATCCTAACATTCTAAAGGCAGCAAGAGAGGGAATTTGTGCAAGGGTAGCTTCAGGAAAATTGCCAGGGAAGGGTGAGCAAGAAGATATGAAACCAATTATCAAAATGAACAGCGTATTTAAGGCATAGTAATTCTTCTTTTCATTAAATTTGCTAGTACCTTTTAGGTATACAGTACAGTTACATTCATCATTGGGATCTTGTACCTTTACATGACAGATCTTGGTTCTTATTTTTTCCCCATACCCCTGGCCTCTCTTCACCTCCTCAACCCTTCCCTATTTAGAAAGACTTTGTTTCACTTTTTCCTTTTCTCATTTTTTCCTTTCTTTCCTTTCCCCTCCCCTCCCCACTTCCCCTACTCTTTAGCACCTTTCTTCCTATTTCACATCATGAATTATACAATTTGAATGTTATTTACATTTTTAATTTTTCACACCAGAGAAACTATTCAGTACTTGCACGTGTTTCCTATTTATTTCACTTAAGAGTATGGCCTCAATGTGCATCCATAGATATATAAATATCTCTAGTTTCTTGTTCTTTGTGGCTGAGTAGTACTCCATTTTATAAAACAAGCACATTTTCTTTATGCAGTCTCCAGTTGGTTGGCAATTGGTCTGTTTCCAAGTTTTACCTGTTACAAAATGTGATGCTATAAATATAGATGAGCATATATGTCTGTAGTATGATTCTTTTAATTCTTTTGGAAAGATACCCAGGAATGGGATAGCTGGGTTAAATGGGATTTCTAATCTTAGTTTTTTGAGGTATTTCCATATTGATTTCCATAGTGGTAAGGCGTAGCAATTCTTAGAGATGAAAAATTAAATGAAATACAGAAGGTAATTCTGAAATATGGTGATCAGCAGAAAGAATTTACCATACCAACAATGAATAAAATGATTGAGAATATCAAGTTATCCAAAAGATAAAAATGAGTAATAGAATCAAACTTAACCCAAATATAAGGATTTATTACCCACTTTATGACAACAAAATTTTTTTCCAAGATTCAAAGTGAAAATATAGTTGTTAGAAGAATTAGTTACATTTAGAGTATAAGAAAAAGAAATCAGCCCATTGATAGCTGAGGCATGTATCATGATGTAATGTAAGATATAACTGCAAAAGAGTTGTATATTTGCTCCAGAGCCACTACACATTTCAGGAAAAAATAGTTTTATCTTAAAAAATTTTCTTTCTGTCAGAATGTGTTTTATCTCTGAACCCATGTAGAGAATTCCTATCTGGTCTTAACAAAATAATGTAGCATTTAGGGATGAAGATGCAGGCCAGAAGCCCTGCACTGGAGGCCAAGATGGAGAAGACCTCCATGGCCACCATAACCTTGCCCTTGGTGCTGTGGTACACAGGGAGGAAGGTGACCCACACGCTGCAGAACAGCAGCATGCTGAAGGTCAGGAACTTGGCTTCATTGAATGTGTCAGGCAGGTTCCTGGCCAGGAAGGCCAGAGTGAAGCTCACCAGGGCCAGGGAGCCCAGGTATCCCAGGACACAGTAGAAGGCAGTGAGTGAGCCCTTGTTGCACACGATGATGATGTGGCCATGTTCAGAGTGTGCATCTGTGTCAATGTAAGGTGGACTTGTTCCCATCCAGACTCCACAGAGAGTGAGTTGGATCATGGACCAGATGGGGATGATGTAGTTAGGTGCCCCCAATACCAACAGCTGCCTCATCCTTCTGCCTGGAGCAGTGACTTTGAAGGCCAGCACCACAGTGATAGTTTTCGCCAAGATGGTGGAAACAGCCACAGTGAACACGATTCCAAATGTAGTCTGCTGGAGGATACAGGTGGCTGTGTTGGGAAGGCCAATGAAGAGTAAAGAGCAGAGGAAACAGAAGATGAGAGAGATGAGCAGGGTGTAACTGAGAGTCCGGTTGTTGGCCTTGACCATGGGAGTGTCTCTGTGCTTCACGAAGAGCCCAAGAACAACAGCTGTAAGAATAGCTAAGCTCAGAGCTGTGCCAACAAGAGTCTTCCCCAAGGGGTCTTCAAAAGCCAGAAATGTGACAGATTTTTGGAGGCAGCGATTTCTCTGAATGTTGGAATACTGATGGCCCGGACACTTCAAACACTGCTGCATATCTAGTGAGAAATGCAATTTTTTCTCAGTGCAGATTCAGTAATTCCCTGTTATTCAAAGCCTCCACCATTCAGCACACTGGGCCAGTCAAGTCCTCCTTTTCTCTTATGTTGCTATAAAACTAGTCATTTGTCGTCAATACTGGTTTTGTTTTTTACAGTGCCATAACAATCCTAAAATTTTTTTTGTTGTTGTTTTTATGGCATGTATTTGAGAAAAATTTTCCATTGTAATAAACCCTTAAAGATCTACTTGTCTAAACTATATCTGTGCAGGCAATAACCTAGGTGTTCATTCACTGAGTGAGCACTCTTGATAACTCCTAAGAGCTATATTTTCTAATTTCCAGGGAAATAACTATATGCCATAACATTCTCCAAGGTACACTAAATTCTCTGAGAAATTTGCAGGTTTTACCAAATAGCAGAGTGCAATTTTGATTTTTATTGGATGATATCCTTAGAGCCATATAAAATATCAACATCTTATAATCATTAAACCTTTTGATTTAGAATTTTTACCTCACAACTCATTTCAGTTTTGTTGTTCTTAATTTTTCCTATTATATATGTGTTGGTGAAAACTTTTGGAAAGGGATAATTTATTTTTCAACATTTCATAGCTTATGATATAGTAAATGTCTTTTAAATTCAAATTCTGAATTGTCAGTGATGTGAAGAAAGAGTTGTTTGAACATTAACCTGATAGTTAATCCATAATCAGTTCCATTCATGATTAATTTACCTAGATTTTCTCCTTGCACACCGGAATCATTGTAAAAATAACACTGCTTTTTTCCCCTTCCCAATACATGCTGATCTTCTTTCTTTTCCTCACATTATTTTATTGGCTGGTATCTCCACCACACTGTATTTTAAATGTGGTGAAATAAAGCACTCCTGACTCATGTATATTTTTAACATTGAATGATTCTGTAAACATTTCTGTGGAATCAACAAAGTTTCCTCCTACTCTTAATTTTTTAAAATCTGTCAGCATTCATGAATTATAGATAAGCATTGAATTGTATATACTACTTCATTTATTGATACTTTTAAGCTTTTTCTAGAATCTACTGCCTTGATTTATATCAAGGAAGCACAAATTTTCCCCAATGTATCCTCCTTAAACTATAGCACGTTTTGGGATGGTAATTGGGATTTTCATTTAAGAAGGAATGTTGCAAACTGGGTGTGAGCCTGCACACCTGTAATCTCAGCACTCAAGAGGAGGATCTTTGCAAATTCCAGGACAGCCTGGGCTATATAATGAATTCAAGGCCATGCTGAACTACATGGAAAGATCCAAGAAACAGAGTTTTAAAAAAACTTGCTTGTTTTTCTATTGTCGCCCATGAGTGACACAGTTCACGCTTACTCATAAGATGCATTGATTTTCCCATCGTCTATCTATCTGAAGGAGTTTGAGTAATTTAGTAATGGTATACTCTAGAATAATTATAAAGTCCACCAGCTAAACTGTCAATTAACATAGAAATTGTGAGAAAAAACCACGGTTGAACTTTTTAAGCAGATGTTCTATTTTGAAAAATTTTATTCAGTATTTGTGTAAATTTGTGAATTTCATTAACATTCCTAAGTACATAATTTATTTATATTCTCTTACAAAATGCTTTGTATTTTTTGCAGATGTGTCTATTTTCAGTGTTTTTATATTTGGTTTCCTAATTGATCTCTTAGTAGTTAATTTTATCGAGGGCTATTAATTTTATTCTGTTACTAAAATCAACTTTTTATGGCTTTTATGTGATTATAATTTCTGTATAACTTCCATTATTATTATTATTTCCTTTTCTCTTTGATTTCTTGTTTTTGTCTAATATTTGTGGTGCAAAACTTTTGCTTATCTTTGCATAAACTCATAATATAAAATGCATACAAGTATATGTCTCCTAAGATACTTTTAGCTTCAACACACAGGGTTTAATGAGTGAAATTTTCAATTTCAACTGTTTATAATTTTGGTTAATTTCTTTTCTAACAATCATAATTTTGAGAAATTTATTAAAACATAAAAGAATTGTGGCTGGGTACATTTTTTTATTTGTGAACATGGTACATTTAATGCAACTACTATATACCAAATCAGAATCGAATATATATTACCGAAATGCATATATTTTGTGGATATATATATGTATATATATATATACATATGTACATATATATATAAAATGTGTAAATCAACTGACCTAATATATTGTCAATTTTGGCACCTCTCTAAAATATTAAACTCATAGAGTGAGGTGAAATTAAGTCATCTGTTACTGATGAAAAATATGGAAAAGCCTATGCAGAGAGGTGATTCCAATCCATCATGATTTAATATAAAAATTCAAGTATTCACAAAGTGGTAATAATGATGTGTAAAATCTTCAGTATTGCTTTTCTATACACTCTTTATTCCATGTCCCAACTACCCTCCCATGTTGAGTGTTTTAATAATATTGACCTGGTATTACTTACTGTGAATATTATACAAGTGAGAATGTGTCATTTTGACACTTCTCTTGACCTTACTTAGAACTTATGTCACTCATTCGTTAAATATACTGTAATGTTACTTCTTTAGTTAAATTTAAAACAATATTCTTAGTAGGCGTAGTAGCACACACCTATGATCACAGCACTCAGAAGGCTGAGGCAGGAGGTTCTCCATAAATTTGAGGTCATCCTGGGCTACATAGTGAGTTCAAGGCCAGACTGTACTACATTGAGAGACCCTGCCTCAAAAAGAAAACCCCCCAAATAAATAAAATATTATTCCAAAATGTTGTACATAGCATCATTTACTGAACCCCAGTCATTTTATTAGCCTTCCAATTATTATTGCAGATCTATGGCTTTAATTGCATTTTCTGTAATTGCATATTGCCTCCACTGCACATCTGTGAATTACAGTAGAGAAGGGCATGAAACCTCCTAAATGAGGTTATGCTTACAATCATCATGTGATACATGAAAGACACACCTAGTTTTTAAATAAAACACACAACTTGTGAACACCTGAATTGTTTTGAAATAGCGTTAGGTCCTTGGAAAGGAAGCACATATAAATTTTATATGCTCAATGTGGTCTAAATGTATCTGAAAAGAAGGTGAAGTGCTTGTTTTTACCAGCACTATGTATTGAAATCTACAAAGAATATGGAACTTAAAAAACTGAATTTTTCAGAAATGGGGTATGTTGAAAATAGTGATTTGATGATTTTAGAAAAATGAATCAAAGAATGTTCAAGGGACAGAGTGTGTTTTTGAAAAGGAACTTTGTATGGTGTAAAATAATTAGATCAAATGCTAAAGGAAGAAGGAATTATATTTTGGTAAGCTGTTCACTCATTCTCCCATTTTACAGTTGGAATGCAGGATAAGCTGAGAAATGGAGAATTTCTCCAGAAAGCACATACTCACCTGTCTCGTTGGAGATCTCATTCTCTGGGCAAGGGATGCAATTGAAACAACAGGCAGCCCTTCCTTCCTGAGGGGATTTCCTGAACCCAGGATGACAGCTCTCACTGCACACAGAGCGGGGAGTCTGACGGAAATCAGATATGTTTTGATGACTTGTTCAGCTTTTACCTAATACTTCAGAATTAGTGATAGAGTAAATTTAATAGGTAAAGCTTCGATGTGTAGTGTATGCTATGAATGTATAACATTTCTGAAAATATGATGAAAAAACTATATTCCTTTCTCATTCATCAAAAAGATGATGAGGTGGGGGGCGGTTTGGGGAGAGGTGACAGGTTTGAGGAGGTGGGGAAATGCCCAGTGTGTGCAGTCCTGGAGGTGGAGGTACCATTGACCTTGGAGCAGGATGGGGCTTTTGCCGTAGAGGTGACAGGTTTGAGGAGGTGGGGAAATGCCCAGTGTGTGCAGTCCTGGAGGTGGAGGTACGTACCATTGACCTTGGAGCAGGATGGGGCTTTTGCCCATTTCCTGATAAAGGTCAAAGGAGGCAGGGAGGGTTAGGAGCATTGCTCTTGTTTTTCATAAAAATTCGGAAAGAAGCTGGGCATGGTGGCACAGGCCTGTCATGCCAATGCTCCTGAGGCTGAGGCAGGAAGATCACCTGGAGGCCAGGCTGGGGCTACAGTGTGTTCAAGGCCATACTGAACTACATAGAGAGACCTCATCTCAAAAAACAAAAAACAAAGGGCCAAAACAACCTAGTTGTCCATCAGTAGGGAATTCAAAATAATCTATGGTCTAATCCACAAAGGCATAGAAAGTAGCTATGACATGAGGATGCCAGTCAGGAATTGATGCAGAATGAACTATGTATCCAGATGAGGAGGGTGGCAAAGAAGGGACCAGTGTCTAAAATGTGGGATGAAAAATGCCAGTTTTACTGTAGAAATCAGTGTGGAGATTCCTTAATAAACTAAATTAGAGGTTCCATTTGACCCAGCTATTCCCTCGCTTGGTATCTTCCTGAAAAAATTAAAAGCATCATACCTTAGTGGTATATGTACACCCATGTTTGTAGCAGCACAGTTTGTAACAGCTGCATCTTGGGAACAGCCCAAATGCCCATCAAGCAGTGAATGAAGATGTGGTTTCCATACAAAGGAGTACTATTCTGTCACAAAGAAGGATAAGCTTGAGACATTTGTAGCTAAATGGATGCAATTTGAAACCATACTCTTAGGTGAAATAAATCAGTCATACATGTGAAAAAAAGCTGGTGAAAAAGAAAAATTTTAAACTAAACTGTGGCTTTTGAATTTCCATACATGAATATTTCCTAAGGTAAGGCAAGGACAAAACACTCACAGCACAATTTCGTTATTTATGAGCAGTGAAATGCATTACAATTCCATCTGAATTACCTCTGTAATTCCTGTGCCCCACTCTATGATATCCTCATTTAGAGACAACTGTTGACTACGTGGAGCATGTGGGGAAAACCGTCCTACTTTCATTTTAAGCCTAAGACCCTCTGGAAGATTCCAAAAGTTCAGAATGTCATACTCCGCACTCAGTTTCTTTTGCTCATCCAGGTTCACGTGGTCTCCAATAGGACTGGTAAATTGAAGTTCCTTTAGAAAGTGGTGCAACTACAAGAGATGCATAATTCTATCATTAACTGGGCCCCATAATTAATGATCAGAACTCCACCGGGGAAAGCCCTTGACTGTCTTTAGTCCTAGCATTATAAGAACAGTTTTGCACATGTGTCCAGTGGAGTAGATCAAGTGAAAAGTTATGGAGAACTAAAATATCACTGTGTTCCATCTATCTATCTATCTATCTATCTATCTATCTATCTATCTATCTATCATCTATCTATCTATCTATCTATCAATATGCATAAAAACACTACAATAAAGCCCAGATAAATATTGTTTAAAAACAGAAAATACTTCAGTGAAAACTTCCCACACCCATTTTCTCTCTTATTCCCAGAGGACACACATGAAAAAAGGAAAGATTTCAATACAGAGTCAAATAGTATATCTAAATAATGCTTATCACCATGTAGTACATACGTACATATATTTGCATAGTACATAAAGTAATGTAAATTTTTATATTGTTTATTTAAATTCCATGGGAAAATTTCAGATGTGTTTAGTTGTAAACATCAGATGGACAGTATGCTGACATCCTGTGGAACACACACATTTATCAGGCTCATGTCTATATTCCCACTTGGAAATGTGTCCTAATTCTGAATAAATATCTCTACTCAGATTGCTCCTTGACAATGAAACTGCTGCAGAATTTCTTGTTGTTTTGGATAAAATATTCTAAACTCTCATTTGCACACCCTCAGGTAAACACACTGCTGGCACTGTCTGCAAGCCAATGCAGAGCCCTTACCTGCCAGGGGGAAAATCCCTCCGGTTCTCCAATGTTGCTTGGTTGCATCTGAACTTGGTAGAGAAGCATCTTGTGGAGAGCGTGAGCCACGGCATACACAGCATTGTAGACATTATAACTCTCGTCACTCATGGCAGGGTCAAAATGACTCACAGGAAGATAGGTGAGAGAAGCATTGGGTGGGCAGTTCTTCAATGTACAATCAAAATTAGATAAAGTGCAGTCAAAGTTCATGGACCAAAATACAGTGAGGTAAATGTCTTCTGGGTATTTTGAAGGGGTAACTGTCTGGATAAAAGTTTTAAAACCAGAAATCTCCTCATGCTGGTGTGCAAAAATGAGTGTTCCATGGAAAGAGTCCATGATGAAATTTTCCCCAAGGGTGGCAGGATGCCATTGTGAGTTTGTGACCCAGACTCTCCATGTCACTAAATGTTGCCCAGTGTAAAATCCAACATCAAGGACACTGTTAGTATCAAAGTAGATAATAATAACATTTGCTGGTGATGTTTCTCTGGTCCATAAATCATATGTTGGTCTATTTGATACCATGTCACTCTTTGAGATCATTTTTAGAAATGATACACAGATTCTATTCCTATCCATTTCTTCTCTCAAATCTGAGAGAAACTGAAGACCTTTCTGATTCTCTGCAATGACCAGTCCCACCCATGTCCAGCTAAAATGAAGCACCAGAGAGACCATGCCAAGGGCTAGAGATGTGTCTTTGGGAGCCATCTGATAGAGAGAGGGAAACTGATCACTGTCACTGAGCATAGGGTCAAAAGCACCATAGGTCATCTACAAAGACAAGAAAATTGAAAGTGAATAATGAAGAGTTTGGTATAAAGGACATTCTCAGATTTCAAAGGTATTAATCAAAGGCTGGAAGTGATAATGGGGGCTATCTGTACATTCATCTTTTAATTATGTCACTGTTTAAGAACTTTTCAGAAAATAATTAGATGCAGGAAGAAAGTATCTTTGTCTATTTTTGGCTGTTGTTCATTGTTGTATACAATAACAATATAAATGCCATACCCAAATTCTTTTTACTCACTTTTTTAGATTATACGTCTTTCTCGTTTTCTTTTTTTAATCTCTTTCTTATTAGTACATATTTGTCATTCGAGCATGTTCATCATAGGGAATTTTTCCTGTATGCAATATATCTCTATTCTTTTTGCCAGTTGCCCTTCACATCTTCAACCCCTCTTTCCCTTCCCATTTCAAAAAGCTTTGTTTTCACTTCGTTTTTTCAATGTCTTTTGTTTCTTTTTCCCTTCCTTCACTTCCTTCCTCCCCTGCCTTGTTTCCTTCACATTTGAACATTTTCTTCCTATTTCTCATGTAATTTGGTCGTTATTTACACTTTTGTTTCTCACACAGAAGAAACAATGTGATATTTAAACATATATGTCTGATTCATTTCACTAAAATTATGCTGTCAAGGTTCATCCATTTACCTAAAAATGTTTCAAGTTCATTCATTTCCATGGCAGAGCAGTACTCCATAGTAGATTAAAAAAATTTTTTTATCGATTCATCCCTTAATGGGTACCTACACCATTTCCAAGATTTAGATATGCAAATTGTGTTGTTGTAAATATGTGTGTGCAGAGATCATTGTGATATGAGGCTTTCAGCTCTTTGAAAAGATACAAAGAAGGGGAATAGCTGGGTCAAGTGGAATTTCTAGTTTTAATTTTTGTGTTTTTGAGGACTCTCCCTACAGATTTCCACAGTCGTTGTACCACCAATTGGTTACAAGTTGAAATTAAAGAAGAAAATAGGCTGTGTCCTAATTACTTTTCTCATTGCTGAGACAAAATACCTGACATCCAGAATTAAAGGTGAAAGGATAATTTACCACACAGTTTATAAAAGTTTCAGCACACAATTGCCTGGCTCCAAGGAAAGGTGACTCATGGTAGAAAGGCAAACATTCATGGCAGTGGAAGACAGCAAAAGCAATCAGAGAATTTAACAGACTCTTCTTGGCCTTTTTACACTCTCATTTAGTCTACAGGGATAGGGTGGTGCCAAATCAACCAGGGGATTGATATAATAACCACACACACTTAATCCCAACCTCACATTCTTTACATTCATCTACCTTTGAAAAGGCCCTATGACTGCATGAGGCTTTGGGGGGACATCTAGAAACAAACCATAACAATTTCCGTAATTGAATGATAATACCAATACAACATATCAGAACATGGGACATAATGATAGCCGTCCTAAGAGGAAAATTTATCCCACTGAATTACCACCTCAGAAAAACAGAACAAGCTCAAGCAAATAACCTATCATCGAACATCAAGCTTCTAGGAGAAGAAGAGCAAATTAAAACCAAAATATTTATGAGGGAGGAAATTATAAAGATATTAGCAGAAATTAATGCAGTTGGAACTAAGAAAACAATACAAAGAATCAGTAAATCAGTATAGCAGTTTTGGTAGTATGGCCATTTTCACTATGTTGATTCTTCTTATCCAGGAGAAGGGGATGTCTTTCCATTTTCTTATATCCTCTTCAATCTCTTTTTTTCAGAGTGCTATAGTTTTCAGTGTAGAGGTCTTTTGCTTCTTTCATTAGATTGATTCCTAGGTACTTCTTTGGTTTGGATGCTATTGTGAAAGGAAGTGTTTCCCTAATTTCTCTCTAAGTGAGTCTGTTATTGGTGTACGGGAAGGCTTTTGATTTTTGATTGTTGACCTTGTATCCAGTTACTCTACTAAAAGTCTTAATTAAGTCTAGAAATCTTCTGGTGGAATTTTTTGGGTCTTCAATGTAGAGTATCATATTATCTGCAAAAAATGACAGTTTAACTTCTTCCTTTCCTATCTTTATTGCTTTAATTTCTTTCTCTTGTCTAATTACTGTGGCTAATGTTTCCAGAACTACATCGAAGAGGAGTGGTGATACCGGTACCCTTGTGTTGTTCCTGATTTTAACGTGAAGGTTTTCAGTTTTTGGCCATTCAGTATGATGTTGTCTGTTGGTTTTTCATAGATAGCCTTTATTAAATTGAGATATAGACCATCTATTCTAATTTTTTGCAGGTTTTTTAAAATCACGAATGGGTGTTGAATTTTGTCAAATGCATTTTCTGCATTTATTGAGAGGATCATATGGTTTTTGTCTTTGGCTCTGTTAATATAGTGTATTACATTTATTGACTTACATATGTTAAGCCACCCTTGCATCCCTGCAATACATCCGACTTTGTCAGAATGTATGATATTCTTGATAATCCTCTGTATTCTGTTTGCTAGTATCTTATTAATGATTTTTGCATCTATATTTATTAAGGAGATTGGCCTGTAGTTGTCTTCTTTAGTTGGGTCTTTCCCTCGTTAGGGAATCAAAGTGATACTTTCTTCCAGGAATGAATTTGGAAGTATAGCTTCCCTTTCAATTTCATTGAAATGTTTAAAGAGTAGTGGCAGGAGTTCTTCTCTAAATGTCTTGTAAAATTCAGCTGTGAATCCATCAGGACCTGGGCTTTTGTTTGTTGTTAAACTTTTAATTACATTTTCAATTTCACTGATTATAATTGGGGTGTTTAAAATGTTTTTATCTTCTTCATTCAACTTTGGTAATTCATAAATATCTAGAAATCTGTCCATTTCTTCTGTGTTTTCCATTTTATTGGAGTACAGGTTTTCAAATTAGGTATTAACGATCCTCTGGATTTCTGTGGGATCTGTTGTGACTTCAGCTTTTTCATTCCTAATTGCATGGATCTGAGCCTTGGTCTTTCCTTTTTTTTTGTTTGTTTTTTGAGACAGGGTCTCTCTATGGAGTTGAGACTGACCTGGAACTCACTACATAGTACCCAGGCTGGTCTTGAACTCACAGAAATCCTCCTGCCTCAGCCTCCCAAGTGTGGGGATTACAGGTGTGTGCCACCACGGCTGGCCTCTTTCTTTTTCTTTTTTCTTTTTTGACAAGCATTTCATTAATTTTTTTCAAAAAGCAAAAACCAACTTCGATTTATTTATTATTTGTAACTGCTATACAGATTCAATGCAATGCTTATTGAAATTCCAACACTATATTTCATAGAACTAGAAACAATAATCCAAAAATTCATTTGGAATCATAAGAGACCTAGAATAGCAAAAGCCATCCTAGGCAAAAAACACATGGCAGCAGGTATAACAAGTCCCAATTTGAAACTATACTACAAAGAAACTGTGATAAAACAGTATGGTAACTGGCAAAGAAACAGGCCTGAGGATCACTGGAAAAGACTGGAAGACACAAAAACAACTCCAGATGTACTCAGCTACCTCATCTTTGACAAAGGAGCTGATCATCTTCACTGGAGGCAATATATTCTCTTTAATAAATGGTGTTGGAGAAACTGGATTTCACCCTGCCAGAGATTAAAACTAGACCCTTATCTATCACCATACACTAAACTAAAATCCAAGTGGATTAAAGATCTAAATATTAAAAAAGAGTCACTAAATTTGCTGGAGGATAAGTTAGGCAGAACTCTTGAAGACCTTGGCATAGGAAAAGACTTTATGAACAAATCGTCAGTAGCAAGGGAATTAGCAGAAAGAATCAACAACTGGAATCTCGCCTTATTAAAAAGCTTCTGCACTGCAAAAGAAACCATCAACAAAAGTAAGAGACAGCCTGCAATGTGGGAATAATTTTGATCAGCTGCTCCTCAGACAAAGGACTCTTATCTAGAATATATAAAGAACTCAAAAAACCAGCCCCCCTCCAATATAAAGACCCAATTCAAAAATGGGCATCTGAAATGAACAGACATTTCTCAGGCAAAGAAGTAAAAGCAGCAAATAAATATATTAAAAAATGTTGCACCTCACTGCTCATTCGAGAGATGCAGATGAAAACAACACTGAGATTCCACTTTATCCCACAAAGAGTGGCTGCTATCAAGAAATCAAACAATAACAAATGTTGGAGGGGATGTGGGGAGAAAGGAATCCTTCTCCATTGTTGGTAGGAGTGCAGACTGGTGCAACCTCCATGTAAATCAATATGGAGATACCTCAAAGAGCTGGGACTAGAGGTCCCATTTACCCAGCCATAGCTCTGCTGGGTATCTTTCCAAAAGAATTAAAAGTACCATATCACAATGATATATGCGCACCTATGTTCATAGCAGCACAGTTTGTAATAGCTAAAACTTGGAAACAGCCCATTTGCCCATCAGTTGGAGACTGAATAAAGAAGATGTATTTTTTTCTATAAAATGGAATACTATTCAACCATAAATAATGAGAAATTACATTCTTTCATAGGAAAATGGATACATATTGAGGATATACTCCTAAGTGAAATAAATAAGTCACACATTTGTAAGTACTGAATAGTTTCTCTGGTGTGAAAAACTATAATAGTACATAAGATCCTAATGATATAATTGGCAGTGTGAAATAGGAAGAAAAGGTACAAAGGTGTAAGGAAAGTGGGAACGGTAGGAGAAAGGCAATAAGGGAAAATAAAAAAATATGAGAAATGAAAAAAAGGACATAAAGTGTTTGTAAATGGGGAGGAAGGAGGGAGTGATGGGAGGGCAGGGACAAGGGTAAAAATGAGAACCAAGACCTGTCATGTAAACGTATAAGATGCCAATGATGACTGCAACTGTACTGTATACCTAAAATGTACCAATAAACTCAATGAGAAAAAAAAGAATCAGTATATCAAAGAGTTCTTTGAAAACTTAAAATAGAGAAACCCTTAGTTAATCTCATCCACTGAGGAAAGAAAACACTCAAATCCACGCAATTAGGAGGGAAACATGCCAAATTAAAATGGATACTGTAGAAGTTCAGATCTTCAATACCTACTTTGAGAATGTGTACAAGTCAAGGATACTCACTGTTGACAGTCTTGTTCAATATAGTTCTGGAAAGACTAGCAATAAGGCAAGAGAAATAAATAAAAGGAACATGGACAGAAAAGGCGAAAGTAAAATTATCATTATTTACTGAAGATATGATGATCTACATAGAAAACCCCAAAACCTCGACCAAAGGACTCCTGGAATTAATAAAACAAATTTGTCAGCATAGCAGGATGCAAAAGTCAGCATTCAAAAATCAATAGCATTCCTGTACCCAAAACTAACTGAGAGATAAATTAGGAAAAGAATACCACATTTCATAATAGCATTAAGTAATGTGAAATATTTAGGAATCAGTTTAACAACAGAAGTGAAAGATGTATAAATTAGAATATTTTCAAGAAGGAGATCAATGCAGGTATCAGAAAATGGAAACTTATCTCCTATTCTTGGACAGGTAGAACCAGACTTGAAAACGGCCATACTACCAAAACAGGTGTACAGATTTAATGCAATGCCAATTAAAATACCAACAACACATTGTCAATTATCTCATTAGGATCTTATGTACTATTTTAGTTTATTATATGAAGAAAAGGGCTAAAGTTGTAGGGAAAGTGGGAAGGGTAGGGAATGGTAATAAGGGCAAAAAATGGGAGAAAATGAAAAAATGGAAATAAAGTATTTGTAAATGAGGAGGGGAGAAGGGGATGGGGGATAGCAGGGACAAGGGGAAAAAAAGGGAACCAAGACCTGTCATGTAAAGGTACAAGATCCCAATAATGAATGTAACTAAATGCACCAATAAACTCAATGAGGAAAAAAATACCAACAACATACCTCAAAGAAATAGTGAAAAAAAACCTAAAATATGTATGGAACCAAAAGAGACTTAGAAGAGCAAAAGCAATTCTGGGAAAAAAACAAGCAAGGCAAAACGTCCATCAGAATCCCCAGGTTGAAGTCATATTATAAAGCCACCATGGTGATAACAGCATTATAATGGAAAAAAGCAGACCTGAGGATTCATGGAACACAGTAGATGATGCAGGAACCACTTCCAAGCACAATCAGCTACCTTATCTTTGTCAAAGTTGTCAAACACCTTCACCGGTGGAAAGTTAGCTTCTGAATAAATGGCAGTGAGAAAACTGGCTTTCCACATCCAAAAGATTAAAACTAGACCCTTACCTCTCACTATGCACTAAACTAAAATCAAAATGGATCAAAGGTCTAAATATTAAAGAAGAAACATGTAATCTGCTGAAAGATAAAATAGGTAAAACTCTTGTAGATATAAATATAAGCAAAGACTTTCTGAACAAAATCACAGTTGCACAGGAAATATTACCAAGGACCATCAATAGGGACTTCATATTAAGAGGCTTTTGTACAGCAAAACAAAACAACACACACATGCACACACACACACACACACACACACACACAGAAGAGGCAACCCATAGCAATGGAATGCAATTTTATGAGCTGTACCTTAGAATATGAACTTTTATCTAGAATATATAAAGAACTCAAAAAAATCAGAACACACAAATTAAAAAATAACAACTAAAATGGGCACATGAAATGAATACACAATTCTCAGACAAAGAAGTTCAAACAACAAATAAATGTATGAAAAATGTTCAACAACACTAGTCCTGTGAGAGATGCAAATTAAAACAGCACTGATGTTGCATCTCACTCCAGAAAGGATGACTAGCCTCAAAAAAATCAACCAAGATCAAATGCAGATAAGACTATGGGGAAAAAAGAAGCCATTCTACACTGTTAGATTATATATCTCAATGCACAGACCAAAAGTTCTACCATCTTTGTGTACCAGAGAGTAGCAACAAAAGTGGTAAAGTTTTATCTCTTCCCATCTACCCATCCTCACCTGTGGAAACTTGTAGAGTTCCAATAGTGTTCCAATCTGGGCAGATATTTCCCATGTTGTTCCTGTAAGAACAGCTATAGACTTGCTCTCTCTTCTGCAGGTGTAATTGGGGACCTCATCCTGCCCTGTAAGCAAAATGAGGGAACTCTCCAAAGTCCTCCATTGACTGTGCAGAACATTATAGATCTCATAACCCAGAGATATATTGGGCAAAACATGGGGGTTATTATTTATCTCTTCTATGGCAAAAACCAAGGCCAGGATATATTGGTAATTTCTGAGCTTAAACCTAAAGAGAAAGCAGAATGTTTCTTAAGTAAAAGATGCAATGCATTATTACCTTTAAATCAAGTACAGCACATCTGTGTCCCTCCAAATTTGAAGTCAGTCTCCTTAACACTTGGTGTGATATCACTACAAGGTTGATTTTTCAGGTGCAATTAGGTCTAGATAACATGAAGATGAATTTTTTCTGAGCATGGTTAGTATTTTTCCAAATGAAGAGAGATCTTCCAATTTTACCATATGAGAACGCACAGAAATGAAAGCTGTTCTCTATTAAGTTCTTAGTTGCTACCATTATGCAAAGCAAATAATAGTAAAAACCACAGTGTTTGTGATATATTTTTACATGGAAGCTTCAGGCAATATTCTGATGCAAAGCGTAGATTCAGTAGAGGAATGTTCTATTTGTAAGAGATTAAGGTCTAAGAATTTATAGCTCCAGAAAATAACAAAACCCAGGTAACTAAAAGTTCTCCCTCAATGTACATGAATTCAAATGTTTCCATTTTTATAGAAAACTGTAAATTGAAAATCTTATTAGGTTCCAGGAATGTAGCTCAGTGGTGCCACACCTGCCTGGCAAACACAAGGTTCTAAGTTCAATCAGTGGTACAAAAAATGTTATTATATTTAGGGTGGTATCTATATCAATGATGGAAATGATTGAACAATTAACATATCATTCAGGGCAGGGGATTTAGTTCAGTGGTTCTGCACCCTGCCATGCAAGTGCAAGGACCGAAGTTCGATCCCCAATACCAAAAAAACAAAACAAACAAACAAACAAAAATCCCCCTAAAACAAAATACAAACAACCCCCCTAAAAAACCCCATATCATTCCTTATTTCATATTTCAGTAATATTATTCAATACAATTAGAAATAAAAAGAGAAAATAATTCTACACTGAGGGCTTCTGCATAACCAGAAGACCTGACATTTGTGGGAGGATTAGTGTGATACAGAAGCTTCTCATTAGGTCACCTCAGCCTTTGACACCTCCAAGGCATGCATCAGTCACCATCAAAGACCTGGAATCTTCTTACATGGACTTCAGAGCTCCAGAGGAGAAGAAACACAAAAATTAGAAAAAAGGACATTTTCTAAAGTAGGAAGGATTGGCAAGACAACAAATTTAGGAATCTAAGATGTACAGCAAAGTAAAGTCGAAAGTTTATCATCCATTTTCACAGAAGTAAGGGTAAAATTCACAGCATCATCTCAGTAGTTGGAAAAAAGGACTTTGATAAAATCCAATATCCATTCATGATCAAAAACAATAATGATGTGGAGGAGAGGAGGGGATGAAGGGAGGGCAGGGACAAGGAGAAAAAATGAGAACCAAGACCTGTCATGTTAAGGTACAAGATCCTAACAATGAATGTAACTGTACTGTATACCTAAAGTGTACCAACAAACTCAATGAGAGAAAAAAAACATTAATGAAAATAGGCATGTAAGAAACCTAACCTCAACCCGATAAAATATATTTATAACAAGCCCACAGCCAATGTCATATGAAGCAGGGAATAGTTCAAAGCATTTGCCCTAAAACCAGAACAACCGTCAGCACTCTTTTTCAATATAGTACTCAAAATTTTAGTCAGAACAATCAGGAAAGGGAAAAGAATGAAAAAGATAGGAATAGGAAAGAAAGAAGTCAAACCACTGTTGTTTACAGATGGCATGACACAGTACATACAACCAAAACATTCCTGAAGTCTCTGAGAATTAAGAAATAAAGAAAATGTCAGAATACAAATTCAAAAGACAAAAATCAATAGTATTTCTATCTTCAACTTATAAGAATCTATGAAAAACTGGCATTGTAAACTGACTTATGGATGCATGGATCAGAATAGAGGCTGCACATCTGTCCCCTGGCACCTTCAGCTATGTGATCTTTGACAAAGTGGCTGGTAACATACATTACAGTAAGGATTGCCAGTTAACAAATGGTGCTGGGAATATAGGCTATGTGCATGTAAAAGATCAAATGTGCATCGGTATTGCTCATGATGTACTAAATAAAATAAAAATTGACCAAATACTTAAACATTAACATGGAAACAATGAAATTACTGAAAAATAAAATAGGTAAAACATTTGAAGTCAAGGGGTAGGTAAGAATTTTCTGAACAGAAATCTGACTACACAAGAAATAACAAAGAAAATCAATAGATGGGATTATATCAAATTAAAAATCTTCTGCACAGCAAAGGCAACAATCAACAGAGTGAAAAGACAACATAAAGGATATTTTGCCAGCTATTCCTAGCACAGAGGAGCAATATCTAGAATATACGATAAACTCAAAAAATTTAGATCAGCCAAAATAAAAGACTCAATCATCAACTGGCATCTCATCTTTTTAAAAATCTTCTGTACTGCCACAGAAGTCATAAGCAGAGCTAAGAGACAATCCACAACATGGGAAAAAATTTTTACGAGCTGTTCCTCGGACAAAGGTCTACTGTCTAGAACATATAAAGAACTAAAAATAATCAGACCCCCCCAAACATAAATACCCAGTTCAAAAATGGGCATCTGAAATGAACAGACATTTCTCAGACAAAGAAGTAAAAGCAGCAAATAAATGTATAAAAAAGTTCAATATCACTGGTCATTCAAGAGATGTAGATGAAAACAACACTGAGATTCTCACCCCCGCAAAAATGGCTGCTATCAAGAATTCAACCAATAACAAATGCTGGGGCATTGTGGGGAGATAGGAACCCTTTTTCATTGTTGGTGGGAATGCAGAGTGGTGCAACCAATGTGGAAATCAGTACAGAGATACCTCAAACAACTAGGATTCAAAGTCCCATTTGACCCAGCTATTCCCATGCTGGGTATCTTCCCCAAAGAATGAAAAGAATCATACCACAGTGATATATGCTCACCCCTGTTTATAGCAGCGCAAATAGCTAAAATTTGGAAACAGCTCAAATGCTCATCATCTGGAGACTGGATAAAGAAGATCAAGTCACACGAATAGTTTCTCTGTTGTGAAAAACTAAAAGTTTAAATAAGGATCAAAATGTATTGTTGATATTGTGTAATAGGAAGAAAAGGTCTAAAAGTGTAGAGGAAGTGGGAGGTGTAGGGGAAATGAAAGAAGGGAAAAGAAAAAAATACATGAAAGGAAAAACGTGGTAACAATGTTTTTGTAAACAGGGAAGGGCAGAGCGGGTAAAGGGAGGGCTGGAGAATGAGAAAAAATAAGAACCAAGATAAGTCATGCAAAGGTACATGATCCCAATGATCAATATAACTACTGTATTCCTAAAATGTACCAATAAACTTAATAAAGATTAAGAAAAAGACAATTAAATCGGGCAAGTGAATTGAATAGACATATCTCAGAAGATGGTCAATAAACTTGTGAAAAAATGTTCAACATTCCTGGCCATCATAGCCATGTAAGTTAAAACTTCTAAGATTGCATCTTGTAGCACAAAGAATGGCAGTCCTCAAGAATTCAAAGAATAGCAGATGTTTTCCGCATTGGGGGTGGGAATGTAAACTAGTACAACCATTATGGATATCAGTATGGTGATTTCTCAAAGAACGAAAATTAGAAATTACACTTGACCCACCAATTCCCTTTCTAAATATCTCCCCCAAGGAGCTAAAGGCATCAGAGCTCAGCAATACATACAGTCCTACAAATATTTACGGCAAGCACAATTAGTAACAGTTAAATTCTGGACTCAGCCTGTATGTGTACCATTGGATGAAAGGATAAAGAGAATGTGATATCTCTCCTAATGGAATACTAGTCCACAATAAAAAGGATGAACTTAAGATGTTTGTTATAATCTTAAGTGAAATAAAACAGACACAAGAGCTGAAATACTGTATGGCAGTTATGATTTCAGAAAGACAAACTACATGTAAAAAGCAAAACAATGGAGTCCTAGAAAGAAAACGGAACACAGAACTTTTGCAAGTGAGAAGGAGTCCAGTTGTGACAGGGTGAGTGTTGGCCAGAGGGGAAGGGGAAGCAAAAAGATTTCAGATGTGTCTGATACTTGTACTCAATAACCGTAATGAATGGAAGCTTTTGTTCTCATAAACATGAACAAAACAATAATGAAAATGGAGATGGAAGATTGAGAGAAGGAGGGAAAGAAGTGGCTGGAAGGGAAGAGAAATGAAAAAGAATCAAGATGATAGGAAGAACACAGTCAAAGGAGAAGTGGGAAGGGGAGGGGAAATAAGGCAAAAGAAAAAATGTGAAAAAGGGAAAAACGGAAGCAAAGTCTTTGTAAATAGGGAAGGGTGAAGGGGGTGAAGGGAGGGCAGGGGATTGGGGAAAAATGGGAACCAAGACCTGTCATGTAAAGTGACAAGATCCCAATGATGAATGTAACTGTATTGTTTGCTTTAAATGGACCAAAAGCCTTAATGGGGTGGAGGGGATCAAGATGAGCTCTGTACACGTACCTATTACTCCTTAAATTGAATGTAAACTTCATGGATAGCAAACATGTACTAAATAGAAAATAAGCAGAAAATGGAAAGAAACCCAGTGTTTCTCCATGGAAATAAATTACACATTGATCATGAAATCATGAAAACAATCTCATTAACAGCAGCTTCAAAAACATTAATTACCGAAGAATTACCTTAAACAAGATAGTGAAAATCTCTTCAACAAAAACTTTAGTACTCTGAAAGCAGAAGATTGAAACAGACATTAGAAAATGCAAAGACTTAACATATTTCAGGAAAAGCAGAATCAATGTAGCAAACATGACCCTGTTACAAAAAATGATCTGTTTATTTTCTATAATTTTAATCAAAATACCAAATGTATTAGTCTCAAAAATAGGAAAATCTCTCCCCAAATTTATGTGAGATCTGAAGAGAGTCAGCCTAGGTAAACAAAACCTGAACAAAAAAGAAAGCAAAGCAGGAGGTGATACACTCCCTGATTTCAAAACTACCAATGGGATACAATACAAGACAGAAACACACCCATGAAGCTTTAGTTATCTGGTCTTTGACAAAGAGGGATAAAAAATGCAACACTGGAGAAAAATAACTTCTTTACGAAAGGGTGCTGTTACTACTGGCTATCCAATACAGAAGAATGGATGTAGAGCTTAAGTCACATACAAATGGATCAAAGACAGATATAGAAAGAGAAACAATAAATCTGCTAAAATGTAAAACACCTAAAACCTTCCCAGACACAGGCACAGCAAAGACTTTGTGAACAGACTCCCAATTACACAAGACATAATTCTAAGAATCAGCAGTTGTGATGGTGTGATCATTATGTATAGCAAAAAAAGTACTAAGAAAAACACCAAAAAAGAATTTTCTATGCAGCTAAGGAAACAATCAACACAGTGTGGGTATAGTTTTCTTTGGTTTTTTTTTCAACTGAGTTAGTCTTTTTATTCTTTTGGCAAGCTCTTCGACAGTTAACTACTTCCACTGTACGTGGTGAAATACATAAGGCTCCACTTCAAATGTTGACTACAAGCATGGTCTTTTCCCCTTCACTGCAACTCAGAATTAAAGCTTTGATTCTTGTTTTATATTCCAATTCCAGTAGTGTCCACTGCAGAAGTTATCTGAAGACAGTCTTAGGCTTTCTAGCAGTGGTCTGTGACCAGCCTCTATCTTTTCCATGAACACTACAATGGATTTAGGTTATACGTGTGTTAAACTCCCAAATGAGTTTAAATGCACTTTATTTTTAGACAACCTACATGCCATGTTTTGTTTTTCTCCCTAAGAAAAAACAATGCTTCCACTCCAAATAAACCACGGTCAATATAAACGAAGTGTTCAAGATGACATCAGTCCCATTTGTCTAAAATCCCGGTGTTGTGTGGATGACAAGCAGCAGCCCGTTATGACAAGTGATAGATCCAAGGTAACCGCCAAATCCATTAACATTTTTCCATTTCTAAACCATCCCTAAAGAAAATCATAATTGGGGTCACAACATCCTCACGGTAGTCAGGAGAGCAACCATGCCATCGGGATACATGCTTGCACCAATAAGAAAAGGATAGTTTTTGAAATTAGCAAGGATGTGCTTGATTTGTTCTGCAGCCCATGTCATAAAAGGTTTTATTCTTTTGGGTCTTTGTTCTACAAGTTTGCCTTTGACTGATTTCATATAATCTTTGATGTACTTCTTGTAGGCCTCTTTTGTGAAGCTGGTTTCCTGCAAGTGATGGTTCATGACAGTATCAACACGAGACTACTGTGCTTTCAGTACCTTTGCCCTCCGGGCCTTCAGCGGAGGCATTTCCACCAATGAGAGAGTCATCAATGTTACCCTCCATTCTACTGACCGTCTTGCCCTCCACCTCCAGGCACAGCCCGCTCGCGGTCTCCCGGATCTTGTAAATGTCGGAGAACATCTCATTGTGGCTGATGAGGTCCCAAAAGATAATCATAATGGTGGCTGAAAGGATATGCGGCCTCGCTAGCTAAGCAGGAGCCCGGAGCCCAGAGTGAGCTCGGAGCCCAGAGTGAGCTCGGTGCAACCAGAGGGGCTCACTGCGGGAGGGGGGAGCAGGCGGAAAAGCTATAGTTTTTAATAAGAAAAAATTTCTGCTACTCCCTGGACAGAAGACTAATTTCTAGAAAATATAAAAATACAAGAATATCAGAACCTTCTAAAACTAAAGACCAAAACAAAAATGGAAACCTGAAGCGATAGACATCTTAAGTGCACTTTTACATGAAATATTTCTGCATTTGGCCATTTCAGAAATGCAAACCACAACACCACTGCAATTTAATCTTACTCCAGTAAGAAAGGCTGGCATCATAAGCTCAAAAAGAAGAAATGAACGCTGGCGAGATTGTGGGGGAAAGGGAACCCTTCTGCACAGACTACAAGAATGTAGCATGTACTGTAGTAAAACTACTATAAAAACCAGTATGAAATATCTTAAGAAACTAAAACTGTAAAATCCATTTGAAAGAGCACTATGACTCCTAAGTATTTTCCTGAAAGGCTTAAATTCATCCTGTTACAGTAATGTATACATATTGATGTTTATAGCAGCACAATTCGCAATAACTAAATTCTAGGAGTGGCCCCTATCATAAGGAACAAATGAATAGAAAAAATATGTGCTATATATATACACAGTGGAGTATTAATTCTAAATAATATTAACTTTGGGTTATTTAAACAAAAATAAAGGCACACTGAGTCCGTGAATCTAAGTGAAGTAAATCACACACAGAATATTAATTATCACATGGTCTTTCTTATATGAAAAACCCAAAATATAAGTAACATAAAGAGCAAAATAGAGAGAGTAGGAATGAGAGAGGTAGACCGGAGATGGAAAAGGGATATAGAGAAAGGGAGAAAGTTGAGGGTGAAGGGGAAAATACGGTAAAAGTGATCAAGATGGGATATGTATATCTGTAAATCCCCAAAGGGAATGCAAGTGTAATGCATCACAAACACATGCTAATAAAATATTTAAAAGACACAAATACACTGAAATAAAAGAAATTTCAGAGTAAACTTTGACATTCTTTTCACCTTTACCCTACTCTGGTGCACAAGTAGCTTCCTGTTCAATGATAATTACTCTTTGCAACATCTTTGTGATTTCAGCAAGAATGCAACAGAGTTTGTCCTTGTAATTTCTAAATTTTTCTTATGTTATCAGATTTGACAAAGTGCCTAGATCAAGTCCACTTCCTAGGAATGGTCCTTCTGTGATTTAAGAGTGTATGAATCACTACCTTCTTTTTGCAGCCTAGGGGATTTTACTCAGAGCCTGCCAAAGACCAGGCAAGTGCTTTAACCCTGAGCAACATGCTCCAGCCGTAATACGGATCCTTCAGTTGTGAAGCCTAGATTTCTATGTATCCCATAAGTTGGATTGGTTGATCTCCTTTGGAATTATTCTACTAATACACTGAGAGCCATATTTTGTTTGTAAGTTTAGTTATCATTTTCACCAGCAATGCTCTATATTTTCTTTTTTGTGTGTGCTCTACTGGAGATGGAACCCAGCAGATTGAAAGACATACCCCAAAATCTGTTTTTTTTTTTGGGACAGGTTCTCAACTTGTCTAAACTCAGCTTAAACTCTCAGTACTGTTGCCTCAAGATCCCAGGCAGATGGGATTAAAGGCATTTGCCACCATACTAGGATTTTGTTTTTGAGGTGAAAAAAAATACAAGAGCATAATTAATATATCATATGATAATTTCAAATTGTATGCATTTAAAGGCACGGTGTGCAATTTTCTCACTATTCCTAATAATGAATTTTTATTCAATTTGTTTTTCCAAATTTATTTTAGCTTATAAATGTATTTTGTAGTTAAATATGTCTTGCCAGTTCGGTAACATTGACATTCAGGAGACAATGACATTCTATTAATTTTATTAGTACATGGGTACAATACCTAATAATTACATTCATCTTGAGGAACTCTTACATATGTACATCACAGCAATACTTTATAATGGCCCTGACCCTCTTGCCCCTACAAACCTGCCCCATCTCCATTTCCCCTTCCCTCCTCCACAAAGTCTGTGTTCAGGATTCCTGTCTATGTTTTATTTTTCTCATCAAGTCAATTATATTTTTCATTTATCAGGAAAACCATGATATTTAACCTTTTGTGAGAGATCTGACGAAGTAAGAATTATGACCTTAAGTGGCATCTGTTTTCTTACAAATAAGTCATTATTCTTCTATGTGAATAAATATTACCCCATTGTTTATTTGATAAATATATAACATAGTTTTACTTATAATTTTATGAACTAGGTATATATAACAATTATAATTATCTGGATATATTATATAATTTAAGGCATTTATTTAAATATATGATAATCATTATTGCATGTATGTGGAAAACATATAAACATATGGTATACCTTTAATTTGTTTCAGAGGATCTTTGAAGATATGCACAGTAGTTTACCAAGATTTAGGTAGCCATGAACCTAGTCATTTTATTTCATAGAATTTATTTTCTGTTTTTTAAGTTTTTATAGTATGTTTGTAGTACATGCAGTTTATAATCATCTTGCAGAATAGGTTCATGCATATAACACAGCCTGGTTCTTTTTAAAATCCTCTTCTGCATCGCTCCCAACTCCCTTTCCGATCCTCTAAATCCTCTTCCCACATTTTCATTTTTTTGACATTATTAATATTATCTCATCTTATGACATATAATGTCTATATTCACTAAGGTTATTAGTTTCCAGTACATGGAATTCAAAGAAGACTACAATATTCTGAAAAAGAATTCACTTTTTTTTTTTTGAGACAGGGTCTCACTATGTAGTTGAGACTGACCTGGAACTCACTATGTAGCCTAGGCTGGTCTCAAACTCACAGTGATCCTCCTGCCTCAGCCTCCCGAGTGCTGGGATTACAGGCATGCACCCCCATGCCCAGCAAAGAATTCGCTTTTTAAATCAGATACTAAAGACCACTGTACCACTTTGGGTATCTGTCAAGGTTTTATGTGTTATCTTTGCAAATTATATAATGTGAAAGTAAATACCAACTTGAAAATTAAACATGAAGTGGCCAAAAACTGGATAAGGCAAGAGTAACAGTACGCTACTACTACAAGGTATAATACTATGTAGGGAAATGTCAATAACTAAAATACAGATATGTGTGTGTATATATATATGTGTGTGTGTATATATATATATATATGTATATATGTGTGTGTATATATAAAGATATATGGAGGATAAGTTGAAGTGGAATCTTAATTTAAGATGCATTTACACTAAGGTGCAAATACATAAAACCTTATGACCACATCATATTTGTTACTATCTTATATGCACATATGGGCCACATTCTAAATTAAAATTAATAAACATATTTTCCTGTACAATGTTCAGGTAAAGACAAAGATCTTATAGAGGACAGCATTTTACCCTAAAGCTTTATTTTCTTTTTAGCAGAATTTTAAAGCTTCTCCCGAGTCCCTAAGATGCTGTTCATGGTAGACAGTCAGGCTGAGTACCTAAGTACTCCTAAAACTGCAACTCTGTACATCTCTATATATTTCTTCAATAGCCATCAGAGTGTCCATGAATTTTATGGAGAGAGCCACCTACTAAAGCAGGCAGGTTCCTGATCTGGTGAATGTGGGAAACAGGGAAGGAGGGAGAGCAGGCTGCTTCTCCTCTCTCCCAGGAAGAGAATCACACTCTCCTCCAGCACACAGGGTGGCCGAGACAGCTGGACAGAGAGGAAAGCCTTGCCTTACTGCCTTGACGTGTCTTCACTCCTTCACCACATATTGTTCATTTGTTCACCTGGGCAACTGGGTCTTTATTTTAGGGCCTCTCTGGTTTCCACATATTACTCAATTTTGTTCTAAATATTTCTAATATATATTGAAATATAATCACCCATGATGTTTGAGCTCTTCCACAGCCTACAATGGTCTTAGTCTTTTTTTTTTTTTTAAATCACACTGGCTTATCCTCACCTAGAGCTCTCTTTGGATGGTTTTAGAGAAGAATGACATTTGCCCAAATTTTCAGTTTTTAAAATTTTACCCAATAAGCCCCAAATGGATCTTTAGCTCTAAACACATGCTATTCCATGCAGCATTCGAATGGAGCCCAATTTCTCTTCTGTAATGCAGAATCCCTTTATGAAATTGCTACACCCATAGTTATGCCCCAATTAGAAAAAATTCCACTGGGGCATCTTAAAAAGTGGCATGAACAGTTTCTTTCTTTAAAAGTTTTGAGGACATTCATGTTTATCTTTCCTTCTTCACCCACCTGAACTCCCACAGAATTGAAACAGTTTAGAAAGATCACTCTGTGGCAACCATCAGAATCCAAGTGTATACGTGAAACACATGGAAAACAGCATGCAAACTGAGTTTTTAAAATATGGAAAAAAACTACATAAATCTAAGAAAGTGTGTAGGAATAAAAAGATCAAAAGCGAGCATGAAAATATAAGATGGAATCTAAATGGAATCCGAGATGGGTAGTGTAACTCATAGAACAGGTAGGAGCCTCGATGCTAGCCCTGCCATCTCTGCTCTCAAGTGTGAGCAGTGTTCAAAGTATCTATGGTACAGAGGTCATTGTATCTAAAAGAAAAAGACACATTTATCCCTGGGTTCAGTTCCAACTTCCTTTCTCATGGGAGAATAAGTTCCTTCTAGGATCTTCTGGCACCTTTTCTCACCCATTTGTTAACCACAGCTTTATCTACACAATTCTTATTGATAACATTTGAAAACAAAGGCTATACATGAAACAGAATCAAGCTATCAGAGGTTAACTAAAAAGGGGTCAATTTATGGAGGATAAAAATATCAGTTTACTCATTTGTTAACCAGAGCTGAAGTTGTGCTCCAGGAGGTGTAACAATCCTTCGCTTAAGATAATCACTTAAAGGTCACTGGGAAGAATAAGTAAACATCTGCACTGTGAAGTCTGTCCAGATAGTGGAGACTAAACAGTGGTGAGCACTCAGTGGGGACAGCCTGAATTATACTGAATGGAGGAAATGTGAAAGCACCCTGGGCTCTGTGACAGAGTTAATGCAAAGCAGTCTCTTAGCAACAAGCTCTATCCAGTGACTGGCATTGTGTGTCTAGGCATTTTCCACCCTGATAGTCAAGCAAAAAGTGAGTGAATGAAAAAAATCACTTACTGCATGAAAAGGGAGAAGTCTTTGTCAGGCCTCCGATGAGAGATACTGAAGAGGTGGGCATGTGCATAGAGGAGGAAAAATCCACCAACCACCACATCTCCATCCCTGTGCACTCTTCTTCTCATTCCTTTAAAGCAATCTAAATGATTGAAAGAATATACCAAGAGAGGAAGCTGCAGGACGAAGTAGACGTTAATCAAATGAGACATGTTGGAAATTTCTGCAAGTCTCTGTTTGCAGTTTGAATTTGCAGTGTCATCCAGGAAAAGAACTATGTGTACACATATGTGTGTTGTGCCCTGGAGTGGACACACCAGTGACCCAACCACACTCTCTTTAAGAAACCTGTAACCCTCTCTACCCTGGGGCTCTGCATCTGAAGTCCAGTTCCCAGGTGACAGACATATTGGAAAATATATTAAAGCATCATCTCTCTACTCCTAGGAATAATGATATCATCCAAGTCCAATAATTGCATATTCCCATGGACCGCTTCCTCTTGGGCAGTTTTTCTCCCAAGCGTATACCAATGATCATTTTTCAGTAAAGCTATTTTGAGTGATGCAAATGGATTGCACCAGAGAATTAAGTGTAAGATATTTGTGAAAAGGTCTCAAAGTTTCCATGACCAGAGAAAACTATTTTATAATCATGTCCTCCAAAATGCAAGATATCTCAG